AACCAAAACACAAATAGCTTAATTCATTGACAGTCGCAACTACTGTTAAACGAACAACAGAACCAGTCACTGGCGAACAAGACCTACCTTGCCAAAGAGGATATCGTAGCAAATAATGTAAACCAATGGCTCTTGCCTCTATATACAAAAAAAACTAAGCATTAAAGATAAGTGAAAAAACAGAGCAATTTTAGTAAATTCAGATGAACAAATACACATACCTTCCATTTACTATTCAACACATTAGCTATTTCAAGAACATCTTTAATCACAGTAAGATCTGCATAAACAGAACAAATTTCACTTCATAGTTCCTTAAACCTCAAAACTGGGAACGAAGAAGAAGTTTGAATACGTTTGAGAGTTTCGCAGACGAGAGCGAAAGTGGCGCGTTTGTTGCGAACGGAAGGACTAAAGACGAGTGATTTGATGGAAGCAACAGCTCGTCGCTCGGCGTCACCACGGAGAATGGACCGGAGTACGTTAGCTGCTTCTCTTCTGGCGTAGAGAGCTGATCTCTCGGCGGCGGAGAAGCTTTGTTTAGTAGCTGGTGGTGTTTTTGGTTTGTGACTCTCAGCGCCGGAAAATCTTTGTTTTGCCGGCGGCGTTTTTGGTTTGTGCCGACGCGCCATGATAAACTCTCAATGTCTTCCCCTCACAAAACTAAAACCCTTCTTCGTCTTGGACTCTTTAAACGCACCGTTTTCAGTTCCCGGTTTATTAAACCGGACCCAAATCCTGTCGCAGCCGGTTTACATATTTGCGTCTTTAAAAGCACCGTTTCGGTTATCGGTTTATTAAACCGGATCCAAATCCTATCGCACCGGTTTACATATTTTTTACTTTTTTTTTATGTATGAACCTCCTTGAGTTTTTAACTTTTTATGAGTGATTAACATGAAAATTTTCCAAAATGTCAACATCTATCGTCTTGTATTATTATTACATAACCATCAAATTCATAACACAAACAAGAAAAGTGATGTAGTATCTAGATTCACAACATCATGTCAGATCGTGTCATTTATTCATCGATCTTATTTAAGTTTATAAGTTTTGAAACAACGTCTTGAGATTGAAGGGTCCAACAAGATCGGATGGACCGTCCAACATGGACTCTGCGGTGTGTCGATTAGCCTTTTCAGTTGTGTGTGAACTATCAAAGAGCATATAGTCACTAACGTTTTCACATAACTCGAAATCATGCGACATTCCTGATATGTACCCACACGTATTGCTTCCCCTGAACGGCCCACTTCCACAACAAGCTTTCTTCACTTCCTTAAACCCTAATAACGCAAATAAAGACAATGACGATATATATAAACATGAGATATTGTAAACAAGTAAACTTAATGTCCGGTTTTTTTTGGAATGTTCGAAGCTTAAATAAATCAACAAAACGTTCTCTAGTAAAGAGTTATGTAAAGATATAGCTAAAATGACACTTGGGACGACACTAATATTACATGATGTGGTTTCGGGCTTGGGAGGATTACGAGCTTTGGCCCAAACCCTCTTTGTATTAAAAATAAAATAAAAATAAATAACACATATGATATACCGTATTTTGTTGGATTCTCCAAAGTTTCTGTATCAGCGGAGTAGGAGTCAAAAAGGGAGTATTATTTGAATCCGGGATATCGATGTTGTACATCTCTCAAAACATTTGGAATTCTTACGTTGTGAAGTTTGATCAACTCATTGATCGGTTCGAAACATGATCCTATTCTTGGTGGATCCAAAGCTAGCAATCCCAGAACACAATCGAGTCGACCCATGTTCATGATCCCAAATGTTCTTCCTCCAATTTTATAAATTTCCTGCAAAGAAACAAACAACTTATTAATTATTTTTAGTAGCTTATTTAGAGATCTTGACACTAATTGTGTGGTCTCATCACCATTTTTGGTAACAATATCATCATATATTCAATGCAAATAATATTTTTTTGTATCGAATTAGTTTTTTTTTTAAAGTATCAAATTAATTAATTAGTCCATATATATAATTACCTCGATCACAGTCGTGGTGTTACCGATAACTTGATCTATATATTTGTCTTTGCTATTAATTGATAATAAGAGATGTTAACAGAGAAAAGATAAAAATAGTTAATTAGGACCGATATGAATGAGATAAACGGCTCTCGATATAATCCTTTCAGTCTCTGCATCTCCTAGTTTCTCTTTAAACATCTTCTCCACATTCTTGAAGTTGTTTAACTGACTTCCCAACGAAATCACGTTCTAATAAAGAGATGAAAGAAAAAAGTTTTTAGACCAACTTAGTGATAGAGTTATAAGTAACGTTCCAATATATATATTTTGTTAATAACCTAGACCATTTCTTGAAAGTGCCTTTGAAACGTATATCATGAATTAACAAGGAAATAAAGACTGATCGACATATCTCTAAGAACAAATTTATATGGTTTCTTGTTTGTATAAAAATAATGTTGAAGAATTGTAAGTTTCAACCAAAGCTCCAGCGCGGGAAGACGCGAAATAATTAACACCGTAAGCAAAAAGATTGACGCTATTTCCGGGCTTTAGATACGGCCGTATCAACGGTAGCCATGCATATTGTAACGACACAAATTTTGAATTAAACCGTGAGGCCCGTTAATGAATTAAACCCGAGAGAAACCCTAATTCTCTGTATCAAAGAAAAACACAAGTCCAGAGACAAGTCACAAAAACCCTTGGCCGTCAAGTCTCTCGGTAAGCCTCGCATCTTTGACTCGAGTCCTCTGTTTTTGGGTCGTTGTGACTCGACCTTAATTAACTCGAACCTTGTTTGTGAACCACCGCAGCACCACCCTAGCCGCTGGAGATCCTCGTTGCACTCAGCCTGTGCCCCCGCGTGAAACGTCTTCACCGGAGAGGTAACCCTGTAAGCCAACTTTGGGTTTAGTCTTTGTTTTTGCCTTGGATTGTTGAATTAATCTAACTAGTATGCTTGAACCACCGCAGATCTGTGTTGCGGAGCCACCCACTCCGCCGTTCGAACCGTCGTCAAGCCGTCGAGAAAGCTAGCCGAGAAAGGTAATCCGGCAAATCCTTGTCTCGTATGTTTAATGTTGTTGTGTGTTGACCACTGAACCGATAATCTACACTAGTCTAAACCAAGGAATCATATGTTTAGTCAGTGCCGTGCCTAGGTCTTTTGGGGCTTGGAACAAAAAAAATAAAATGTGGCCTATATAATTTAGTTCAATAATTATTTTTTAAGGACCTAAAATAATTATAAAAGAAAAGTGAGCTACAATACAAAGTCAAGTGTGTAAATCTATATAATAAAATGAATTATGCTAACATGGGATCGAACTTCAAACAAAATACATATATGAGACTACTAAAACTTATTGAGACAATAAGATATTTTTAATAATGTGGCCTAAAAATCAAGTCTATAAATTGTGGTTGTGGGCAAGTGCCCTTTATTTTAAGGGGTTAGCACGGCACTGTGTTTAGTTGAAATCACAGAACCGAAACTTATAATCGTGAGTACGTATGATGATAAGTGGTGATTGTAGGATTATTAAATTGGGTTGGTTACTCTCTAAACTGGAAGAACTTAATTGATTCTAATTAATCGTATGATTGAAAGTTGATATTGGTTATTTAAACCGGAATCATGTGATCGTGAATTGAGATGTGGTGTTATTAAATGACTAGGTCTTGGTGTGGTTTAATTATTAAAACCAGGCTAATTGATTTAATTGAAAAACACCAGAGTCAATTTAAACACATTAAACCGAGATTGTGTTATTAGTTGGTTTAGAAAATGAAATAACAGATTATTAATTGGAGATAAATCTTTGATCGGTTAGTTAAACGGTGTAGTTTGAGAAGCGTGGTTGAACCGGTTTTTCGTTATTGTTAGTTTTAAACCGAAAAATCCAACCTAATTCGCTAAGGTGAGAACAAGTTAGTGTTTTCTTTGTATTCAAAAACCTTAAGTTGATTACTATGTTTAGGGTTAAGACAATACGCCTACGAATTACATTTGTTATGAGTAACCGTAGTTGTGTATGGAGTGTATTAGTATATTTAATAAATAAATATAATTTATATAAAATTAAATGAAAAGAATTAGTATTGTTGAGATAAAAATTAATTTAAAATGAATATTTTAAAAGCGGTTGCGTGATTTATGAAATGTATGTTTTTGTGTTGTAAAATAAATTATTTGAGAGTGAGGAGAATTTGCCATGGAGGATCTTGCAAGGAGAGATCCTTGTAGATGTGTGGTGGTCTATGGGCGCAAATTGCAGATAGATCATGATGGCTGACGAGCCGGCAAGTGTGAATTGAAGTGCATGAGGCATGAAGGATCCGTTGCACTTGTGAATGGTGCAAGAAGAAGTGCAAGAGGCAGGAGGATCCGGTAATGCACACAGGATGGCATGAGTTGACACGTGATATCTTTCTCGCCTTTGTGGTGGTGGTTATGGGATGTAGTCTCATTTGTCTGATGAGTATGTGTCATTGACACGTGATTGTCTGCTTTTCTTAGGTTTAGACTTTGTGATTCTAGATATGTTTGTGTATAGAGAATTTGTGAGCCCTAAGAGCATCTCCAATGGTGAGAGCCTTCCATGGGCTCTCACCATTTTTTTAAGATTAAAATTTTTAAATTTATGAGATGAGAGCTTTTGTTAATTTTGCAAAGTCTAATGGTAGGCTCTCTTTGTGGGGTTCTCAGGAAAAAATTAAATTATTTTTTTAATTATTTTATTTCATAAATCTGAAAAATATTATTGCAAAATTGAAAATAAATATATAAAAACATAGGATTTGGTGTATTGAATTTTTGAAAAGAAGGATAAAGAAGAGACAAGTGAAGTTTGGTGTTTAATTAAGTCTTGATAAACACACTTCATCAAATTTTTGTGTTTTGGTTATGTAGAGAAAAAGAAGATATGGATTCAAGTCATGGTTTTGTGGTTGATGTAATGTTTTGTGCTAGTTTGTGTGATATATAGCAATATGAAAAGAAAATAAAGAAAAATTCATCACTAATATCAAATATTTTACACACCAGAAGTAGCAAACTCGTAAAACACAAAGTTTTTCGCTACAAATGCATCACATATAAATGGAGTGTTGACAGTACAAGGGGCAATACAAATGCAAGTGGAATGTAGAAAGTGTTTTATATAGCAGAATAGCTGTAGTCAACAGTATCATCATTGGAGGAGGAAGGAAGAAGACTTAGCAGAAGCAGTGAGTACCACAAAGGTACCAAAGAGAATAGTGATAATGGCCGTGAAGTTGAGGAGAAGCAGTGAGTACCACAAAGGACCATGTTGCCATGTCAAATGATTCTTGGTGTGTGCTGCTACTTCTCCATCTTCAATGTGTAAAATTGAACAGACATATCATTGATCAGTCTTTGATTAGACAAAGCACACACATACTACACTATTGCTTTACTTTCTATAGTTTTTATGTGTGAGACCCAAAATGACAATCCCTGAAAAAAATCATCACACATAAGAGTTTTTAAGTCTAAAAGATAGCCTCAACATTTCTGCAAACATAGCCAATCATCACAGATAAGAGTTTTTAATTCTTGTAACAACAACAACAATAAAGAACTCTTTAGTAGATCAGCATCATATACCTCTTGTTTCCATCAAGCACTTCTTTCACGTTTTCCGCCAGCTCATCAAAATCTTTCCGGTTAGCCTCCGGGAGTATAATCATTTTCACTTGACTCCGTCTTGCAGCTATAGTCTTCTTTTTCACCTGACAAAGAGATATTTTGTGTATTACAATGAGAGCTTAGTACAAGAAAGTGACAACAAATCTTGCAGCAAATCTTAACCACACTCACTTCGGACTAAAAGGAAAAGGAATTACCTTGCAGCATGAAACTAGATCATTACCATGCCAGTTTGATCAATGTCAATGAATAAGCCATAGGGCTCCACACGTTTGATTCTCCCAATAATCATATCTCCAACATGGAATTTCTTTAAGTCATATGATTCAGATTTTGGCTGCCCACCAGCATTTACTGTCTTCAAAGTTTGAAATTAACATAAGTTCTACCATAAGGAAAGTAATAGGTTGCAAAGTCATGGTAAGAGTTGGCATTACGTTCTCCTGCAATAGAAGCCATCATTATAAACATGAAAAAGTAAGCCTTTGCCTGCAAACCTTGCAAGTTTCAGTATAAAGATGACTTCTCCAAGACTTCATACATCTTCAAATTGAAATCAAACCGAACTTCCTTCCATCCTTGACTACCATTTAAAACATATTCCAAAGAACTCTAATTACTTCATTGGTCTCTGTTCCTTAAATTGCAAGCCATAAAACAATTGCTCAGCCAAGAACTAATGAGTTGCAAACCAAGAACTAAGCCATCGAGAACATCTCAAGTAACAAGAAAGAGAGATCCTTAACAACGAAATTTCTACCAAAAATACAAATTTGAAATCAATTCATTAGAAAGGATTCCGGAAATCGATAACGTATCAGAAACGAAAATCTCTGATCTATAATGTTTCCGACCTTAATTAATCCACCTACGGCCTCTCCATCTTCCCTCAATCGTCGCCGGCGGCCTTAATCGTAACCTCAATCGTCGGAGAAAAGGCATCGCCATCGCCTTCGCAAAGAAACAGAGAGAATAGTCGGGAAATGATATATTTCGGCTACTCTCATTCTTTTTTTTTTACGCGTTTTTTTTTTTTTTTTTGATCAAAAACAATCGACGGCTGAGAGAAGGCCACGTCGTCGGCTCTCATGGTACTCAAGATTTTTCTCAAGAGAGACAGCTCTCTTCTTAATTCACAGTTTTGATTTATTTTTCAAAAAAAATTTCAAGAGAACCTACAAAGAGAACCTGATAATGCATCCATTGGAGATGCTCTAAGGCCTACCCTCGCTGAGTAATCTTAGATTGTTCACCTCTCTCTCTTTCTCTTGCATGTAACCTTGAGGAGCAGTTGATGGCGTTGTTGTTTGGTGTTGGTCTTAAGAGCTAGAGATTCTTTATTTCATTTCATTCGTTATTAGGAATTCTCGAATTAGTTATCGTTTTGTTCCTATTTTAATTGGACGAGTAGAAAAAAGGTTTTAACTCATTTAATGAAATATGTTGCTTATTTTCGATTATGCATTTTTACTTGAGTTATAAGCTATCTCATGACATGCCTTGTTGTTGAAGTAAAATACCGGGTGTCACAATTTTGATATTAAAATGTCTAGGTTATGTTAAACCGGATCATAAGGAAGGAAATTGATACACTTGCTTTTTTGTGTTCAGATGCTGCCAAAATATGGAAGAGGAGCAAGAGCTGCTACACAACCAAGAATGAGGACCGTGAGCCTAGACGTCTCTAATGAGAGTGTGCATTATGAGAATATAGAAGTTGTGCCGAATAATGTGGCTCAGGCAGAAGCACCACAAGTGAATGGCCATGCGGCTTATGGGATGGCTATGTTTGAGGAATTTTGTAAGTTCCAGGAATACATGCGGAGGAAGCTAGATATGAGAGAGCACCAGAGGTGAATGCTCCACAGCGTGGCAGACCGGATGTGGCAGACCCGCCTCAGCATCTATCCCTGCCTCCGCTACATCCTATGCAGGCCCATGGGAAATCGTTTTACATGGAGACTATCAGATATTTGAATGAAGTGGGCATGAAGTTCTTTGGTGGTAAAGCCAACGCTATTGCTGCTGATAACTGGAGGAAGAAATTGGAAAGAAATTTCGGTAATGTTAGTTGTTCGCAAGAGTACCGCAAGGAATTAACAGTTCAATACTTGAAGCATGATGCTACAGTATGGTGGGATAAGGTGTAGCCTAGGTGTAGGGACGATATGAGTTGACTTGGAAGGATTTAAAAATAGAATTTATAAGGAAGTATTTTTCCAGGGAGGCAATGTAACGGATAGAGAACGTGTTCTTGGAACTTTGCTAGGGAAACATGACTGTGAGAGAGTATGAGGAGGACTTTGTTCGATTGAGAAGGTTTGTAGTTCGAATCATGAACGAGTATGTGCTTGTTCGTAGGTTTTTGAGGGATCTAAGAATTAAACTCCAGAATCTCTGTAAGATGAGTTACTACCGCAACATGATTGAGCTAGTGAAAAAAGCTTCTAATTTGGAAATTAGATTGAAAATAAGAGATGAATCAGAACAAAATAACTCAAGCAAAAGCTGCAAAGAGTCTGAGCTCTCACAGGTCGTAATAATGCGGCAACCCAATGCCAAACGATAAGATACAATCGAAACGAAAATTTTCCAAAACCTCACATTGACACATTTTGCATGAAGCTTAGGATGATCAGTTTCAAGACTCTCTGAGTAGACTAGACAATATGTATTTCAATATTGTTACATAACCATCAAATTCACAACAGAAAAAAAAAAAAAGTAGTTTAATATCTACTAGATATTATCTAGATTCACATCAACACATCATGTCATTTATTCATTGATTTCGATCTTTTAATTAATTTATAAGTTTTGAAACAACGTCTTGAGAGTGAAAGGGCCAACGAGATCGGATGGACCATCCCACATCAACTCGGCGGTCTGTTGATTAGCCTTCTCACTTGTGTGTGAGCCATCGAAGAACATATAGTCACTAACGTTTTCGCATAACTCAAATTCACGTGATGTTCCTGCTCTATACCCACACGTACTGCTTCCCCTGAACGGTCCACTTCCACAACAAGCCTTTTTCACTTCCTTAAACCCTATATAATTACCAAGACATAAAGCAAAAAAACAATCACGATATATAGAATGCCCACATATATGAGATATTGTAAACAAAACAACAAAATAGCACATAAAGCTTGATACCGTATTTTGTGGGATTCTCCATAGCTTCGGTTCCAGCGGAGTAGGAGTCAAAAAGGGAGTATTTGAATTCGGGAAATCGACGTTGTATATCTCTCAAAACATTTGGAATTCTTATGTTATGAAGTTTTATTAACTCAGTGATCGGTTCGAAACATGATCCGATTCTTCTTGGATCCAAGGTTAGCAATCCCGGAACACAATCAAGTCGACCCATGTTCATGATTCCAAATTTTCTTCCTCCAATTTTGTAAATTTCCTGCAAAGAACAAAACAACTTTTTAATTATTTTAATAGCTTATCATAGAGATCATGACATTTTTGGTAACAATTTGATCAAATTTAAAGCAACTAATATTTTTGTATCGAATTACTTAGTCTGTATGTATAATTACCTCGATCACAGTCGTGGTATTACCGATAACATAATCTACAAATCTGTCTTTGCTATTGGATTGAAAATAGGAGACGTTAACGGAGAAAGGATAGAAATAGTCGTTAGGACCAATCTGAATGAGATAAACAGCTCTTGAGATTATCCTTTTGGTCTCTGCCTCTCCTAATTTTTCTTTGAACATCTTCTCCACATTCTTGAAGTTGTTTAGCTGACTACCCAACGGTATCACGTTCTAATTTATAGACAAAGGAAAAATGTTTAATCCAATTACTTAACACTTATAACACTTCTCCTTTTGACTTTCCAGAGTAACATTAATATATCAACTTTTTGTTAATAATTAATCTAGACCATTTCTTGAAAGTGCCTTTAAAACCATTGTTCAAGAAAGCGGTAGACGCTAATCGGGGCCTAGGCGATTACTAAAATATCTATAAAAAACTAAAAATATGAAACCATAGACAAAAATTTGATAAAATATTTATTTATATTTATATTAAACAATATATGAATATATAAAACTATATATATAGATATAAAACTTAATTAGAAATTGAAAAAGAAATTAAACAAGTTCTATGTAATTTTAGGTGGTCAAAACGGTTATCTAGTAGTCGTAAGAGAGCCGAGCGCCTAGTCGGGGCCTAGAAGACCGCCTAGACCGCTTTTTAGAACACTAACTAACATATCACGAAAATCAAATTTATATTGTTTCTTGTTTCTATACAAATAATCTTGATAAATTAAATACCTGTGGTTTATAAGTTTCAACCAAAGCTCCGGCGCCAGCAGAAGCGAAATTAACACCGTAAGTAAACTGACTGACGCTATTTCCGGGCTGTAGATACGGTGGTATCAACGGTAGCCATGCATATTCCGCTGTATTCATGGCAACAAAATAAAAATTTAATATCATTAGATTCTAAAAAGATTTGTAAAAGTACGATGCATATATGTTTTTGTTTTTACCGATAAAATCTGGAATCAAACGGCCGTCGGAATTTCTCCCGGTTGGGAACTTGAATGTGGTTTGACCGTACGGCCAAACATTAGCCTGAGCAGCTCTGAATGTGTTGATGTAATTATTGTTGCCAACGTCGAACACCGAGTCTCCGAACACAAACAATGCTGCTTGTTTTGTAAACAAAATTGTTTCACAACTTATTGAACTGATCGATAAAATTATAGTTAGAAAGAGCAAGAATATTGGACCAAATCGCTCAATGTTTGCCATTTAATTAAAATCGTATCTTTAAGCTAGTTCTTTTGTAGAAAATGTATGTTACATATATGTAGCTTGTGTTTATATATAGGTGTTAGTGAGTCAAGGCTAGCTTGAAAAAAAAAATGACGAGAAATCATCGCAAACGTTTCTGGACAATTTCCCAGTTTTGATTTTGCCAATTAAATTATAAGATTTCCTCTTTGAATGGTCAAAATTTGATTATATTATGTGAGGCAACTATATATAAAATGTAATAAAATTGTGATAGTCAAGCTTCGTATCAAAATATGCTTTGAAATAATTGAATATAAAATTAGTTTCTTGTTTGTCCAAAAAAAAAAAAAAAAAAAAAAAATTAGTTTCTTGTCTTTCACGAGACGGCTGGTCAATGGAAAGGTTTAATTGTTATCATGTGAACTGATTAGTTTAATCAAACCAGAAGAATTCACAATTGTTTTTTCCCTTTGTGTTGAGCAACTATGGAAACTTCAAGGTACATGGCAACCAAAAATGTTACTTCTTATGTGAAAAGAGAAATTACTATAGAAAGTGTCACAATAAACCTGGTTCATTAGGGTTGTAAATGAAAATATGAAAAAGGTAACATATAAGATATCTTCTTTCTGATGCTTAGGATATTAAGATCTTCAGGTTATGATTTCATTGCGCTTAAAACGGAAAAAAAGTATTTCGTACCCGTACAATTTGTAAAGTGTATTTTCATACCTGAACAAATACGTAGGGTTAATTCCAACCTAAACCGTAATTTGAATTTTATATCCAAACTTTAAATTTACTGTTTTTTTTTGGAATCGTAATTAACAAGTGTTAGTCAACTGTTACGGTTGCTGAGTCAACTGACACGTGTTTGATGATGTGACTTAAAACGATGCCATTGTGTATGTTAGAGTTATATTATTATTATTATTTTGCAAAAATTCGGTCTCGAATTCCAACATCTCACTCGTTTACTCAACTCATAACCCACAACTAGTGATATTTGGAGGGTTCGAGACCCGACTTTTGCAAAAAAAAAAATTACAATATTAATTCCAACAAACACAAAGGCGTCGTTTTAAGCCACACCATCAAACACATGTCAGTTGACTCAGCAACCGTGACGATTGACTAACACTGGTTAATTACGACTCCAAAAAAAAAAAAAACTAAATGTAAAGTTTGGGATGAAATTTAAATGTTTTTTACGGTTTAGGTTGGAAGTAACTCTACTTATTTGTTCAGGTATGAAAACACACTTTAAAAATTGTACGGGTATGAAAATACATTTTTTCTTGCTTAAAACATATAAATTCGTCTTTCATATACCAATCAATAGATCAAATGAGCCATAACACTATCTCAAATATCATGGCCCATAACACTTAATATGTCAATCAAAAGGCCCATTTACACCATAATATAAAGAATCAATATAAGCCCAGAGTCCTAGGAAAGGAAAACACAAGTCAGACTAACAAAACTTTGAAATCAATGAACCTTAAACATTCATCGATAGAATCATCATATTCTTTCTTTTTTTAGAATTGAATGTAAAATTATATTTAATCAAAAATCTTGTGTACAATGAATGCTTCAGTTTTTTGAGATTGTTTGAAAAAGAAATACACCGAGAGCAGAGAGGGAGTTTTAAAATTGATGCCAAGCTTGTTTACGGAGTTGGTCGAGTGGAGAATGTTGGGTAAGCTTCAAAGGCTTGAGGTCCAAGTAATCATAAACAAATCGGTTTATGATAAGAAGGTTCTAGATAAAGTTTAATTAGGTTTTGGAGTTATCAAATCCTAATCATAATAGGAATAGCAAAGTTGTGTTAACCCTATATATGTGTTTGTTAAGTTGTGGCAAACATTAAGAGAGAACATTGAGAGCTTTGTATTTAGTTTTTGAGAGAGTTTTCTAAACATTAATAAAGAAGAGTGATTTCTTTAAAAGCTTTGTATTTAGTTTTTGAGAGAGTTTTCTAAACATTAATAAAGAAGAGTGATTTCTTTATACGGACTAAAACAAGCCCCTAGAGCTTGGAACACGAAATTGGATCAAATCTTGAAAGAGTTGAAGTTCAAGAAATTCTCTAAGGAGAATTCCGTGTATCGTAGGGAAGAAGAAGGTATTAGAATGTCCCACATTGCTTGGGATTAAGATCTTTGGATAGTATATAAAAGATGTGGCAATCCTTAACTCTTGAGCTAGCTTTTGGGTTAAGTTAGGTCACATTCCTAATATGGTATCAGAGCCAGGTTGGCCCAACAAGCAAATTTCCACACAAATGGTTTCCCACCTATGTGGCCCATATAAGTGGCATGTCTTGTTGTATTTCCGAGATGTTGGGCTTGGGCTGTTTCCCGTTGGACCGTTTCCCACCCACATCTCGAGGAGGCCTATTAGAATGTCTCACATTGCTTGGGATTAAGATCTTTGGGTAGTATATAAAGAATGTAGCAATCCTTAACTCTTGAGCTAGCTTTTGGGTTAAGTTAGGCCACATTCCTAATATGGTATCAGAGCCCAAGGTTGGCCCAACAAGCAAATTCCCACAAAAATGGTTTCCTACCTATGTGGCCCATATAAGTGGCATGTCTTGTTGTATTTTCGAGATGTTGGGCTTGGACTGTTCCCGTTGGGCCGTTTCCCACCCACATCTCGAGGAGGCCTATTAGAATGTCCCACATTGCTTGGGATTAAGATCTTTGGATAGTATATAAAAGATGTGGCAATCCTTAACTCTTGAGCTAGCTTTTGGGTTAAGTTAGGCCACATTCCTAATAGAAGGTACCCTACTAATTGTTGCGATTTATGTTGACGACTTATTTGTGACGGGAAATACTCTCAAAGTTATTAGTGAATTCAAGAAAGGTATGTCATCTAAGTTTGAGATGTCGGATCTTGGGAAGCTCACTTATTACCTCGAGACTGAAGTTCGTCAAGGAGAAGAAGGAATTGAAATCAAACAAGAAGCTTATGCGAGAAGGATCTTGTTAGAAGCCGGTATGAACACTTGCAATCCTACGAAAATTCCTATGATGTTTGGATTACTAGTTTCAAAAGCTCAAGAGGAGCCGGAGATAGATCCAACATGATATAGACGAAACATTGGTTGCTAAAGGTATTTACTTCACACAAGACCGGATTTAGCTTTTGTGGTTGGAGTTGCTAGTCGTTACATGCAAAGTCCTCGAAAATCTCATGGAGAGATAATGAAACAAATTCTCCGGTACCTAAAAGGATCAATGGCATTTGGCTTGAAGTTTGGTCGGGATGGATCAAAGAGAATCGTCGGGTTCAGCGACAGTAGCCATAACATTGATCAAGACGACGGAAGAAGTAGTACGGGCCACATTTTCTACTTCGGATCATCACCAATTAGTTGGTGTTTGCAAAAACAGAGCACAGTTGCTCTTTCATCATGTGAGGCCGAGTTCATGGCAGCAAGGGAGGCGGCACGTCAAGCGATTTGGTTACAAGACATCTTCAGCGAGGTCGCGGGATGGAAGACCGAGAAAGTACTCATCAAGATTGACAATAAATTGGCTATTGCATTGACAAAGAACCCCGTATTTGATGGTAAAAGCAAACACATTCACAAGCGTTACCATTTTATTCGGGAGTGTATCGAGAATGATGTTGTTGATGCAGAGCACGTACCCGGAGAAGAGCAAAAGGCGGACATACTAACTAAAGCATTGGCAAGGATCAAGTTTGGTGAAATGAGAAGCATGATAGGAGTTCAAGACTTAAGCTCAAGCGAGTTGAAGCTTAAGAGGGAGATTGTTGGGTAAGCTTCAAAGGCTTGAGGTCCAAGTAATCATAAATAAGTCGGTTTATGATAACAAGGTTCTATATAAAGTTTAGTTAGGTTTTGGCGTTATCAAATCCTAATCATAATAGGATTAGCAAAAGTTGTGTTAATCCTATATATATGTTTGTTGAGTTGTGGCAAACATTAAGAGAGAACATTGAGAGCTTTGTGTTTAGTTTTTGAGAGAGTTTTCTAAACATTAATAAAGAAGAGTGATTTCTTTGAAAGCTACTGTGTTCTTAAGAAACTAGAGAGAAACCACAGCCTTAGGTCGTCGTCGTAGCGATGGTCTCCTACTCTCCCATGTCTTTGATTGAGCTGATACGGTTGCAAACATTCTTGTTGATGAGCTTGATGAGTCGAGGTTGAGGAGATTGGAGGAATCATCATATTCTTATTTCTAAAGACTGTACTCTTTTAAACAGAGCAACATGGATATAAGAAAAGAAAAATTATTCATAGATATATCCGACCAGTTTGGTAAAAATTGTTCATTTAGGACAATAGACTTTTAAATTAATCAACGGTTACATCCGACTACTTTTTTTTTTTTTTTTGGGACAAATATTGAGAACTTGTTATTCATAGATATATCCGACTACTTTTTTTTTTTTTTTTTGGGACAAATATTGTTTGATCTACCTATGATGTTGATCTTTTTTAAGCTTAAGTCGTTTTATCCTCACAAACTTGTTATGTCTTCATCCAAAAAGTTAGATATTGCAATTTGCATAGTATCTGGATACACTGAAACATATTTCTATATCAAATCCTTATTCATCTCTAACAATACTTTTTGTATTAAACAAGAACGAAGAAGAATTCAAAGTCATTACATAACAAGTTCTTCTCTTGACTAGAAAATTCAAAGTGTTCCAAGTTACCTACTAAAAGATAAGGCAACCAAAAGTTGAAAATTAAACTCAACAGTCTAATCCAAAGAGAATCAATCTTTTGTCATTTACTTTAGAGTCAAATAATGTCTCTATTGCTTAAAAACACATTGAGAAATGGAAAAAGGAAAAATAAAAATGGTGTTTTTAAGATGAGAAATCGTGGTTGCGTAACTTAAGCCTTAAGTCCTTGCACAAGAAGACTTGTGAAAAGACTTGAATAAAAGAAAAAGGAATAAAAAGAGTAATCGTGGACCAAGACACAAGTCAACCACCAGTCTTTGTCATAGAGAAAGACCAAAGAAGATTTAAAGCATACATCTTCCTATGTAAGTTACCTTAAGAAACTGTACACACAAGTACACATTTCTTACAAAGCACTAACATTGAAGCTTCCTTTCGAAAGTTAAGTCTTCAGACCAAGAAAAGGGAAGATCACACATTCGTATAGGCATAAATAGTGTTGAGCATGAATGGAGCAGAGACAAACTTGGCGAGGAGTTACAGCGATGATACTCACTCAGGATTCGAGTTTCCGGAGCTAGACTTGTCAGATGAATGGATGGATGATGATCTTGTGTCTGCAGTTTCGGGGATGAATCAGTCTTATGGTTATCAGACTAGTGATGTTGCTGCTGCCTTATTCTCAGGTTCTTCTAGCAGTTTCTGTCATCCCGAATCTCAAAGGACCAACGCTTCTGTTGCGGCTACAGCCACTGCCTCTGCCAGTAAGTTTTTTCTTTACATTCTAACAATAAGATCAAATAGCTTGTATATTTGCAGTTTACAAGTCATTCTATACTGAATCTGTTTTTTTCCCCCTATTTCCTTATGCAAGACAACCAAAACAAGAAAGAAAAGAAGAAAGTTAAAGAGAGAGTTGCGTTCAAGACACGGTCTGAGGTGGAAGTGCTTGATGACGGGTTTAAGTGGAGAAAGTATGGGAAGAAGATGGTGAAGAACAGCCCATATCCCAGGTAGGAAACAACATTTCTCAATTCTTGCTTACATCTTTCAAATTCAACCTTCTCATACTCTTGAGATCAGTCAGTTTCCATATTACCAAAAAAGCAGAGCAAATGTGAGAACACAAATAGCTGGGAAATGACATGCTTGTAGTAGTTGAATTGTTTTTCAGCCATTGCCTCCTTTGACCTGAAAATCAAATACATCAAAACTACCACTGGTTAATTGCAATGATTTCCATGTAATTTGCAGAAACTACTACAAATGTTCAGTTGATAGCTGTCCTGTGAAGAAAAGGGTTGAAAGAGATAGAGATGATCCGAGCTTTGTGATAACAACTTACGAGGGCTCCCACAATCACTCAAGCGCGAACTAAGGCACAAGGCAAGCTTACGTTGCTAGACATGGCATCTTCTTATCAACGGTTGAGAGATATATAAAAAAAAGGGTGCAAGATGGTTATGATACTTAAACTGCTTCTAGTTCTTCATATTCATTGTAAACTGGTTGACGGGTTTCACACATTTTTTGAGAGATTTATGACATTCTGAATCTGTAGTACTTCTATAACATCTAAGTTTGTTACAAGTGAGAATCGGTGGACATAACAGTCCAGAGAACCTCATATCTTACCATAAACTAGCAATCCTGGAATATCAATGCAAATCTAATCAGATAATTACCAGACCAATTCCCAAACCACTAATGAATACAATGGGATCTTGCCAGCCATAATGTATCAATAGAAAATAATGAAGAAGCCATGCACAAGGAAGAGATCACATTTAAATCAATAAAAAATGAGCCATTACAAAGAATAATAGAGCGGCCATTACCTTGAATTTAAGCCTTGACGGCTTGACCCTCCTGGAGTTAGATGAGATGAAGCAGACATGGTTCTCCTATGAAGGCTCTGTATTCAGTATTCGACGTCAAGTCTCTGCTCATCACAGTGATTTCTAAAGGCAGTATTTACACTCAAGACGGAATATCATATTCTCGTCACTGAATAAGATCAACTTTTTCACAAAGAAACAAGCATAGATGAAAGAAGAAACCTTGAATTCGCAAATGGAGTATATTTACCAAAAATTATATTTCTCGTACACATTGATAAAACTGATGACATCTGCATCTACTTTTTTCAACTAGAGAAAGGGGAGTCAGCGAAGCATATTCCACCGTGAACAAGACTGCTTTCACATCAAAATGACTAGTTCTTCAGTAGAGAGTGGAAAGAAAGAAGTATAATAATATGCCAATGGAAATGCTACTATCACGATCTTTCTGTTACTTCATTTAAAAAGATCACGTCTAAATTTCTTGTAAATGGAACAGAGGCAGCAGAGCTACTCAAATCACCTTCTTGATGGTGCCTGTCAGATATTATACTCCACAATGTGTCCAACCTCTTTCTAGTTGCTTGTGGGTTTGATACAATGATCGCTTTTGACTCTGAGGCTTGACACTTGATGGTTTTATCAGCGCCACTGGCAAGTAACCAGCGGGTGCCAGACTGTTGCTGTGATTTTGTACACCATGGATGGTCTACACCAGGCTCAATTTTCAAACCCGCTAGACCAATTTCAGTGATTCTCCACAACTGCGTCTCATATCCAAAGGAGTCCTTATTTCTTCCTTCTTGAGCCAAACTACACACAGATGAATTTGAGGAATCCAAAGACCTTTCAACTTGGATCAGAGCAAGCATAGATGCACCAACAGGTTCATTATTGACGAATGGATCTCTAAGTAATACTTGAAGAGCAAGTGTCAACTTGTTCCTTAATGTATGACCCTTTCCACTAGAAGCCTGATCTTGATAGGCGTGGTGCGCTAATATTTTATTTCTCATTTGCTTACTGGTTTGATCTTTGTTGTCTAGCATTCCATGGTCAAGCCTTAACCACTCATCCAACGTTGAGGAAAAACTCATCAACTCTAGAGCATCAGACTGATCCATGGGTTTTGGTGCAATTCCTGATTGTGGATCTTGGTCTGACATACTGCATTGAATCTTTAATCCTTCTATCGAGAGAAGGTATATCTCATCAATAGCTAAGGAAGTGATATCTTCAAGAGGTACATAACTTGGACACATATTGGATCCAAAGCCCCCAAATTCTTCATTTGAAGGAAACAAATCCAGTTGTCCTGATGGTTTCTGAACCACGACACCTCTACTCTTGTCAGAGCAATCATGTCCAGTTCTGTAAGTCATGAAAAAAAAATATAACATGACAACTATATCTTTTTAGAATAAACTTGGAAAGTATAAATATAATGCTTAATGTATCAACATGGTGAAAGTATCTGAACCTCTCCAATTTTGCGCCATCGACAACTTCATGTATCGTCTTCCCCATAATATCTTCCAAAGGCATTAATGCATTAACTTCAGAGCAAAGTCCTTCAATTCCAGAAGCTGCCAAACTTTGTAGTATTTCAAGGATATCAGAACCTAATTCTGATACTAGCACCACCGGGACTGAAACTTGCATGATTAGATGTGATGCATCCTTACACTCTCTGAACAATAAAGGATTTATGGACCGGATACACCCTCCCCCTTTTATCCAAACAGAAGGACCAATGTTATCTCCAAGTGGAAGCAAATCTACTCCCTTGTCAACTGGAAGCTCTATTGGACTTCCAAACCCATCAGAGCAAGCACAAAAAGAGTTCTCAAAACATTTATCATTAAATTCCCACTCTCGGAATAAATTTTCAGTTTCCAAGTCTTCAAGTACCTTGGCCTTCCTTCTGTCTATTAACAGCTGAGACTTTCCCTCACGCTTGCTTTCTCCAACACCCAAAGAACTTGCAGAGAACGAGAAATCATTCGATTTCTCATCAGTATCAGAAACATCTGCTGCTTCTCCATCTAAATCTAAGAGAAAGTTTCTAGAAGCGAAAGCCTCATTCTCAAACTCTCGAAGCAGAGATTCACGAGGAGATGTAGGTTCACCATCTGAGGTATAAACATAAGAACATTCCTCAAGTTCAAGCATGTTTAGAAAATCATTAGCTACAGACTCAGTAATGTCATCCAAGCTTAGTGACTTCGTTGATATTTTGGCAGCTTTGTAAGTAGATTTCACTTCCAAAAAGTTTTCTTTCTTCGTAGAATCTTCCATGGCTGATGGAGATTTACTCTCAGATGACTCAGAAATTACCTGGCTACTGAAAGATGACTTGGGTGCTCCATCAACTGAATGTTTTAATGCGGCCACTGATAAGTGATCAATAAAAAGGCTGTCCTCGAAAAAGGATTCATCTTCATCTTTAAGTATCTCATGGACATCAATAATTTCAATTCTCGAGGACTCTGTATTTGGATAAGTGCTTTCTTCCAGCCTTGATCTTTCTTGCTGAAACATCTCTACTCCTTGTCCAGTAAAAGCAAAATCAGTGTCGCCAGAGTCATCTGCTTGCTTATCAATCTTCAAACCTGGGTCTACCTCAGTTTTCCCCAGATGTTCATACTTGATACCAGTTTCGGTTGATCTTTGTGGGTTTTGTTCGTTAAGTTTCTCATAGAGAAAATCTATTGACTGGGAAAGATCCAAACTCAGACTCGGCGAGACTTGATTGATGACCTTTCCATCATCAAGAGATGACGATCTATGGTCCATACTTGGAACACTACCAACCCGCTTCAGCATCACTTTCTCACTTGTTGAGTCACAGACTGAACTGCTGACAACTGAGTAATCAAAACTAAGATTCAACACTGCAGACTCCGCCAGGCCTGATAATTTGAAGCTCGTGTTCCACTTTCTCGTGCTTCTTGTACCTTCCAGTTCCTCCAGAGACAACGGTAATATCTTGGTGAAATCAACCCAATGCTTCCCTAGAACAAGCCATGGAGCATCAACAGGAGAGACATAGACCAAAAAAAGTTTCACTTGATATTTTGCAGAACGATGAGGCCCATGTTTGCTACCGTATACCGAACATCTATGCGTTAAGGTCTCTTCAAACTCAGCAGTTCCTTGTAAAACCTTCGAAGGTTGAGTAGTCATTTCTTCATCCTTCCTCTTCCATTGCACAACCAACTTAGTACCATCCAAATTCAAAGGCAACCCTTCAATGGAATGAACATGTAGAAGAAAACAAACATCAAACCTACGCTGCCCAAAATGAGCTATAGCTTTCAAAGGCTTCTTCCAATCCCATGGTACCAACAATTTCTTCTTCTTATTTGACAATACTACCCCAATCTCTGTAGTTCTCGAAACAGATTTAGATCGAACAGAAGGAGACAACGAAAGCACCGGTCTTTGAGGTCCATTGTTGTTCAAGTAAAGAGCTTTACTTACCTCCTTAATGTCCTTCAACAACTGCCCATTAGATGACTCCTCTCTATCATTCACAGACATTGCTTACACTCTCTTTGATCAAGTCATACAATGCTGCAGAAGTCATAGAATCAATGTTACTTCAGAAACCACAAAAACAAGGATCTAACATGACCCGAAACGCAAAAACGAAAACTTTGAAATGGGTTTAGTCTCTAATGAAATCTGAATACTTAAAGGTCTCTGATTTCATAAAAAAATCTAACAGAAAAACAGAGATAATCTAATTCTTACCGGTTTCAGAGGATTTTGAAAGAGTTTCTGGGGATTCTAAAAATAGAAAACTTTTGAAGAATCTTTGGAAGATGACTTCATAGGAAAAGCGTGAGTGAAGTTAATACTTAGTTTCGCCGGTAGGGTTTCATTTGATTCCGGTGGGTCCAAAATTGTGTGTTGCTGATGCAGTGACGTAACCATGGAAGAAAAGCAGAGAAGATGAAGATATTAAGAGAGATAAGTGTGTGTTTTTTTTTCTGTCAAAAACGGCAAGATAAGCATTATAAAAACGGCATGCATTTTTCATTTTACACGGACTTGCCAGTATTTTTTCAATTCACTAGATGAATATTTTTTTTCTTTTTTTTTTTTTCGTCAAAATAGGTATTATATTAATGAGTTTAAGAAATCATGATACAATTGTTCGGTTAGCCAAACCGGCAGGTACAAATTATCAGCCAAAAAAACAGAACTTTGACAACCATGTTTAGCTAAACAGTGAGCAACCTTATTACAACTTCTTTTAACAGAAACAAATTTGACATCAAGGAATCTCGTAGCCCAAAAAGAAATGTCCTGGTATAGTCCTTCAATTGCAATATCATATAAGAGACCATTGATTATCTTGGTAAGAACCTCGCAATCCCCCTCGAAAATTATTGCTGAAATACCTCTGTTCCAAACTTGTTGCATCGTCGATAATAAGATTTTTGCTTCAGCTTCTAACGGTGATATTGATGTCCCTAAACTTAGTGCACCCCATCCTTTTGTAGTTCCGTTATCATCACGTAGGATCCATCCTCCCGTTGTTTGGTGTGTCAAGGGATCAAAACCTGCATCATAATTACATTTAGTGTAATTTCTTGGAGGTCGTTGCCAATTCAGATCCGGTTGATGTTGTGTTCGTGGCTGGTCTAGCGGACGATCTGATTGTATATGCGTAATCCATTCTCTTACTTCTGCTTCAGCTTGTATCACGACACTGTGAGGAGTTTCCCTCCTGCTATTAAAAATGTAATTGTTCCTAGATTTCCAAATGCGCCATAATAGCCACAAAGGTAACAACTTCTGATCCATTGATAAACCCTGCGTTTTCTGTAACTCAATGATACTTAAAATGTTGGCTTCACAATCCGGGGTTGGTGACTGTATAGAATTGATGCCGATGTTTGATAGTCTCCAGATCATTGTAGCATACGGGCAGGTGAAGAGAACATGATTTATTGTTTCGTTGTCCAGTGAACAGCGAGGACATTTCGGATCGAGTTTCATTCTCCGGGCATTTAGTCGGGTAGTAGTCGGTATAGCTTTAAAAAGGACTCTCCATAGGAAGTGTTTGATTTTTGGTAATGTTGATAATTTCCAAATGGAGGTTTTCGTCAAGGTAGAACCGTAAGGGGCTCCAGGTCGTACGCTTATGTAATGAGGTTCATGTGTTGAGAGCCAGTAAACTGAGCGAACTGTATATTCTCCCGATTTATTATAGTGCCAGACAAGTCTATCTGGTAATGATATTTGGGGTAGATGAATTTGTTTTAGGAAGGTATGATCCTCGTGGTTCACATGGTCAGAGATCAAGTTATCATTCCAGAAACGATATGAGCCTGTACTAGAGATGAATTCCTTGACTTGTGGGTTTGAATTTATGTCTCTGCTACGGATCGGTTTTGGTGGATTACATGGAGTAATGTTGTGAATGCCGACTCTCGCCGTGTTTCCATCCCCAATGATGTATCTGGATCCTTTTTTGATGATATCTAAACCTGCTAATATTGATGTCCACCCGTACGATTGATTTGTGCGTTTTTTTGCATTTAACAAGTCGTCATCTCGGAAATAACGGGCTTTCATTATTCGTGCAAAGAGGGACTGTGGATGTTTCAATATTCGCCAAGCTTGTTTCGCGAGTAGCGCATCGTTAAATTTTGCAAGGTCTTTAAAACCCAATCCACCTTCTTTTTTCGTATATTGAAGCCGTTTCCAAGCTATCCAAGGAATGCCTCTTTTATTGTTACTTTTCTCCCACCAGAATCTCATAAGTAAGTTTTCAATTTCGGAGACCACTCCTATGGGCAATTTGAAACACGACATTGCATAAACCGGCATTGAAAGCGCAACAGATTTAATAATAATCTCTTTGCCAGCTGTAGAAAGGTACTTCGCACTCCACGATGATGTTCTCTTCTTCACGTTCTCTATTATGTAGTTGAACATCTCCTTTTTCTTTTTTCCAAATTGTTCAGGGAGACCTAAATATTTCCCTCCACCTCCGTGATTCGGAATTTTCAATATGTTTTTGAGACGGTTTTGAAGATTCCCATTTATTCTAGATCCAAAGGTGATGAGGGATTTGCTGGTATTGATCTTTTGCCCCGAATAATACTCATAGACTTCAAAGGCTTCCTTCAAAGCATAGCAATTGCGATCATTTGCTTGACAAAAGAACAGTGAGTCGTCCGCAAACTGTAAATGAGTGATAGCTGGTACACCATTTCCTATACGTACTCCACGAATTTCACCCGTCGAGGCTTTGCTTTTGATTAAATGGTTCATAATATCGGCACAAAGTATGAATAAATATGGGGAGAGTGGATCTCCTTGTCGGATTCCTCTAGCCGGAGTGACCAAACCATGTGGTGAACCGTTTACCAATATAGAATATCTCACTGATCGTACCGTTGCCATAATCCACTCAATCCATTTTTCCGAAAAACCAAAAAGTTTCATAGTGACCTCTAAAAAATTCCATTCAACTCTATCATAAGCTTTGGTTACATCAGTTTTGATGGCCATATAGTTTTGGGAGACTCTTTTTCTTGTTTTTAATGAGTGCATCACTTCGTGTGCAATCATAATATTGTCCGTAATGAATCTCCCGGGGATGAAAGCTGCTTGTGAATCCGAAACTATAGATCCCAAATGTAGTTTAAGTCGATTTACTAGACATTTGGATATGATTTTGTAAAGGACATTACAAAGAGCTATGGGTCTATAGTCGGCTAGAGTGAGTGGACTAGATATTTTCGGTATCATACAAATATTTGTATGATTAATGCTAGGTTTCATGTACGAGGTTAAGAAAAACTCGCGTACCTCCTTAATCACATCTTCACCAATAATGTTCCAGTAGCATTTGTAGAACCTTGCTGTTAAACCATCTGGCCCTGGGGCTCTGTCATCACCGATTGCACAAATCGCATCATATATTTCTTTATCATCAAAATCCCGTGTTAGTTCCTCGTTTATATTGTTTGTGACTGTGGGATTAAAGTCAGCAAAATCTATTGGGGAAACCGGGATTCCACTGGACTCATAAACCTTAGAAAAATAGTTTGAGCATGACTCCCAATTTCTTCATCGCCACGGAAAGTGTTGTTCTGCTCATCGTTGATGGAGGATATGTAGTTTCTTGAGTATCTGGTCTTTGTGCTCGCGTGAAAGTAAGCAGTGTTACGATCGCCTTCTTTCATCCACTGCTTACGGCTTTTTGTTCGCCAATAAATCTCCTCATCACGGTATGCTTTGGTGAGTTCTTCTTGAATCTGTGGTATGCGTCTTCTAATAGCTCTGTTTGTGCTCTCCATCGCTTGGTTAAGTTTGGATTGATGGTAGTCGATGCGTTTAGCAGCATTCATGTTTGACTTGTGTTTACCTTTGGACATTGCTTTCCTGCAGTTTCTGATTTGATCACTTATTGAGTATCTATTTGTATGTTTGCAAGAATTCCAACCTTTTGCTACTATGTTCTCAAACTCTGGAATTTGACTCAACCGTTTGTCAAAACGGAAAGGTTTATGTGTGGCCGGTGAGGTCGGATTGATACATTTTAGAATAGGCTTATGATCTGACCCATTGAAGTCCATAAATTCTGCTTCTGCATTCGGGAAAGTTGCAGCCCATTCAGTGTTAACCATTACCCGATCAAGGCAGCACTTGACAGTATGATTGTGTCGTTCCCCCACCCATGAGAATATGTCCCCTTTTGATTTTAAGTCTATTAGATCACAAGAAGTGATCATGTTTCGGAAATCTCTGAAGCTCCACTCCTCTCTATGTGGCCCTCCTATTTTTTCAGAATTTGATTTGATTTCATTGAAATCTCCTGCAAGTATCCAAGCTCCATCACGGACCACACCAATTCTTTCTAATCGTTCCCAAAATAAGTGACGCATACTTTGGACAGGATGTCCATACACACCCGAAAAATAGAAACCATTATCATTAAACTTAACAAATACATCAATCATTCGTTCATCCTGATAAACTTTGGACAACGAAACATTTTTGGTCCACATTAAAGCTAGTCCTCCACTCCTACCATGAGGGGGCTCAGTTATTAAGTTATTAAATCCTAACACACAAGAGAAATCACGTACAATATTACACATATTTAGAGTTTCACATAGAAATAAAATATCAGGTTTAATAATACGACATAAACGTTTTAAGCGAGCTTGAGTTAGCGGTGATCCCATTCCTTGACAATTCCATGTGAGTACTCTCATGGGGGAACATATAGGGGTACCGGGCCCCCCGCACCTCTGTCCATTATGTCACCAGAGCATGAGCCCTGAGACTCGGTCTTTTCCTTCTTGCGAATCTGACACAGGACCGTCAGATCTTCAATCTCCTCACATTGTTGGTAAAAAACCTCCATCTCCTTCCTCTTGCGTTTCTGGCTTGTTGGACTGCTCTCCAGAATGGTAACACAGTGCGCCTTTGCAGTCGGTGTCTCTTGTTCCTTTCCCTTGGTAAACTTGTTGTGTAGATAGCGGAGTCTCTCGGCCATTAGTTCAGTGTCCTCAAACACGCTTGGTGAAGTTGTGTCCTCTGATTCAGTCATGATGAATTCAGTGAAGCGGTTGTTCCTTTGTAGACCAGGGATTTGGATTTCACCATCCGGAGCAATTGTCTGCAGAGTATCTGCAGAGGCAGGGCCTTTCTCTTCATGCGGATTGTGATCATCAGGATCATTGTCATCATCGCTGTTGTCCACAGGCGGATCTTCGTAGTGCAAAGAGCATTCTTTCACATCATGTTTCAGAGAACCACATCTGGTGCAAAAGTTGCGGAGCCTTTCAAATCTGAATTTCAAAATGGTGTTGTCATCCGCTGAAAACTGGAAGTTCCTCTGAAAACGTAAAGGCATGTCGTAGTTCCACTTCACACAGACTCTAGCAAATTCAGCCCATCCTGCAGTCTCATCAAAATCAACCTCATCGACATACCCGAGTTGGTTCCCAATGTAACTTACCATCGCATTTGTGAGATAGAGTACCGGGATTCCTCTGATCTGAATCCAAAAGGGAATGATCTTCATTTCATCCTCTGTGATGTTTGGATACCACCGGTGAACAGAAAGCATCCAGTCATTGAATGCCCATGGTCCACGACGAAGAACCAGATTCATCGATTCCTCAGATTGGAAGATGAAGAGAACTTTGCCGTTACCCAGAATCCTTCCACGACAGGCTTCTACAAAGCCCCAGATTCGCGGCATCTGAGAAGCAATTGCTCTGAGATTCTGCTTCCTTGGATTCACGACAGAGACGATTAGTGAAAAGCGGTTGAGCGTGGCAGCTTTTCCACACAACTCAGAGGGCAAGGAGATCGGGGTATCATTAATCCCCAAATTAAGATCCTGAAGCGATTTTCGAATGTTATCACTCATTGTTTTGATCTCTGTTTTCACTCGGAAAGAAAAGAAAAAACAGAAAGTGTCTGAAGAAGAAAGAAGTTGCGAGATTCCGACAGATATATAGGGGTTGATCCATGGCGGTTTTCTTTTACAGTTTTCCTTCGAAATTGAAGGAAAAGAGAAACTGCCAACGAGAAACTGTGACAGACGAAAACCGTCAGAATTAACCAACCAAAAAGCGATTAAAGCCGGCGGAAATAATCTCCGGCGGGGAGAAACGCAAGAAAGAAGAGAAATCCGGAGATCGCCCCAGAAATCGCCCTCCGAGAGAAAAGGTGCCATTATCTTCAACCGGAAAGAAAACTAAAATTGAAGTTTAAAACAATTTTTTTTTTTTTTCATGTTTTGCTATATAATACTTTATTCTAAAGAATTAATCTAAACTTTTGTAAACTAAAAAAAACAAAAATGAATACAGAATACAGATACATGTACACCAATCCAATATGTTACAGTAATTAATTACTAATTAGTATTGAATCAATAACTATGCTTGGTTCATGAAACTCCAATAGGTGTCTAACATAACTTTTATATACGATTGTATACGCGTACGCATTGAGAAATTACATCTATAGTTTGTTGCGATTATTAAGAAAAACAATTGGTTTTAACCACCATAGTTCCTTAATTTATGTGTTTTTTAATCACCATATATAGTTCCATAAAATTATATTTGTTTTCTTTTATAAAGTTAAAATTTAATTTGTTACAAAGAATAAACACAAACATTTTTCAAAAAGAAAGAAATTTTCTATTTTTTCATTTTTTGTATAAAAGTTTCCATATAGTAAAAAACAACTGTTTAGTAGATATATATTACCAATACGTATCTAAAAATACTTTCTTTTCTTTGACCGAAAGAAAAGGAGATACTAAAATCAATGATTTATAAGAACTTGATGTCTCGTCCGTTGAATTGAGAGAAGAAAAACTTAGACCACAAGCTCCTTTGTGGTCTTGTGGTGACATAATTCTGCCTAGTGTTGTCTGACCATGATGGCTTCACCGTACTCGTCAGACGATATCCATTCTCCGGTGAACTCGACGGTGGTTGCAATAGACAAAGAAAAGCATAGTCATTACGCTGTTCGTTGGGCGGTCGACCATCTCCTCAATATGATTCACAAACCAGTCATGATTCTTGTCCATGTTCGTTCCAAAAACTCAAACCGTAGGTACCTTATACTCATTTTTTTCCTATAATCTTGAAACTAGTAGGAATCATCATCATGTGTTTTCAAAATGTTTAAGATTTTGATAATGAATTGCGCAGATGGAGCCAATTTGAATAATGATGATCTAAATCAGCTTTTTATTCCATATCGAGGATATTGTGCGCGAAAAGGGGTATAATGATATATATATATATATATATAACCCTTTTTTCATTTCGTTTTCGAACATTAATCAAGCATAAACAGAAATGTTTTAACACCATGCACTCTTAGTAGATTTCAATGACGGAGGTTGTTCTTGACGATTCGGATGTGGCAAAAGCAATATTGGATTACATTAATAACAACCTGGTTAACAATCTTGTAATGGGAGCATCCTCGAAGAACAGCTTCGCTAGGTCTTTTATGTTTAGTAAACCACATGAGGTGCAATCTAGCATAATGAAATCGACGCCTGATTTTTGTTCCGTGTATGTCATTTCTAAAGGAGGAAAAGTTCAATCTTCCCGACCAGCACAAAGACCTATCACCAATACGCTTGCCCCGCCTCGTGTTCCGTCATCTGGCTTTTTAATCCAATCTTTATCGGATAGCGAGCAAGATCTTATACCTAGGTAAACCAACCTTTGGTTCCTTTTATCAGTTTCTTGCAAAAGTTTTACTAAAAGCTAATGTTGATTGTTTTCTTGATACATTTTAGGGTCCAGCGTAGTGCAAGGAACAAACCTAATGAGACTACTTATCCGCATAATCGTGCCTTCAACACAACGCAAAAAAGTTACAAAAACACTATAAATGGGTCGATGGATTTAAACAACGGCTTTAACCAAGTTGCCTTCCAAAGAAATCCAACGTTACAAAGTTCATTTTCTGATGAATCTGAAGTTGGATTAGGCATGATGGGTTCCATTGATCTCTCTGCTCATAATAATATGGATTTTTATCATGGTGCATCGAGTTCTTCAGAAGAGTCGATTCCACAATCAACTGTGCGTTTTCTTGAATGATTTAATTTCTTTTTAAGTTTAAGAATAATTAGAAGGCTCTAAATCCATGGTTGTTGCTTTGTTTGCAGAAAGATATTGAAGCTGAAATGAGAAGGCTAAAGCTTGAGCTTAAGCAAACTATGGACATGTATAGCTCAGCTTGTAAAGAAGCACTTACGGCAAAAAGAAAGGTATAGGTTAAATTTGAGCAAGTTTCTTGTTGAATACGGTACGGATCATGGCTTCTTTTATTATCTAGGCAAACGAGCTAAATCAGTGGAAAATAGAAGAAGCTCGAAAGTTCGAGAAAGCGAGGCTTTCTGAAGAAGCAGCATTGGCAGTTGCGGAAATGGAGAAGGCAAAGTGTAGAACAGCAGAAGAAGCAGCTGAGAAAGCTCAGAGAATGGCTGAGCTAGAAGGACAAAGAAGGAAGCAAGCGGAGATGAAAGCGATAAGTGAAGAAAAGGATAAAGACCGCGCAGTGAGTGCTTTGGCACATAACGATGTTCGCTACAGAAAATATACGATAGAAGAGATCGAAGAAGCCACAGAACAGTTTGCAAATCATAGGAAGATTGGTGAAGGAGGATATGGACCGGTGTATAATGGCGAACTTGACCACACTCCTGTTGCCATTAAAGTTTTAAGACCTGATGCTGCTCAAGGAAAAAAACAATTTCAACAAGAAGTAAGATTTGTATTTATTTTTTCTTTTTTTTGTTGGTTTTGCATATTACAAGTTTAATTAATCTCATAATCATATATATTTTATACTCTCATTTTACAGGTTGAGGTTTTAAGTTCCATAAGGCATCCTCATATGGTTCTTCTCCTTGGTGCATGTCCAGAATATGGATGTTTGGTTTATGAGTTCATGGAAAATGGGAGCTTAGAGGATAGACTCTTCCGTAGAGGAAACTCTCCACCGCTTTCGTGGAGGAAACGTTTTGAAATAGCCGCGGAGATTGCTACTGCCCTCTCATTCCTTCATCAAGCTAAGCCAGAACCTTTAGTTCACCGCGACCTTAAACCAGCCAATATACTCTTAGACAGAAACTATGTGAGCAAGATCAGCGACGTTGGTTTAGCGCGGTTAGTCCCAGCATCGGTAGCTAATAGCGTTACACAATACCACATGACATCCGCGGCAGGAACGTTTTGTTACATAGACCCTGAATACCAACAAACAGGAATGTTAACCACAAAGTCAGACGTATACTCATTTGGGATATTGCTACTTCAGATCATAACCGCAAGGCCTCCCATGGGGTTGGCTCACCAAGTCTCTAGGGCAATTAGTAAAGGAACTTTCAAGGAAATGCTTGACCCCGTCGTGCATGATTGGCCTTTACAAGAGGCTCAATCTTTTGCTACTCTATCGTTGAAATGCGCGGAGCTAAGAAAAAGAGATAGACCCGATCTTGGAAAGGAAGTAGTCCCACATCTTATTAGATTAAAAAACTTTGGGAATGATGTTGATTTGATTCGTGGTGATGAGAGAACTAAGGAGTGGATATGACAAAGAACAAACATATGGTTTGTAATATCAGAAAATATAAACTGTTGAACTTCGTCTACAATTCATACAAATATGGCTCATGTTGGAATTCGAATAGAGTCTCTTCTCTCAAAGTTCTTTTTTTCACAATTTTACCCCTTTAAAAATAAAACAAGAGCCATTGTATGATTTTTTGAGTATACAAACAGAAGAATATAAGATGGATTCCATTTGCAAATTGTAGGCTTTTTGAGTATACAAACAAAAGATTTAAAAGAAGAGAATAAGAATACATGTTAAGAGGTTATTAATAAGTTAATACCAAAGATGTTAAAAAAATGTTCCAAATGTTAGGGTTAACAAAAGCAAAACAATAAAACTAAATAAAATATCTTTCACCAATAAAAACTCAAGAAAAGATCTGAATCTACTTCATATCTGTCATAGAAAACAATTGAAATCCACTCCAATATTGGTATTGATAATTTCTTTGGACTCTAATTCTGCATATAAATTCTTTAAACATGTCCAACTCAAAAACTGATCAGATCGAGATTCATAAATAACAACTATGTAAACTAATGAAATTAAGCCAATTAATTATCTGTCATGAGATCTTTCTCGATATAGAGGCACCGAAAAAATAAAAAGAGACACAGAGAGAGAGGGTATGGCTCATAAAATGACATAATCTACATAATAATGGCATAATCAATTGATATTTAAATATAACAAAAAGAATGGAACCAAACCAAGGGTATCAAAATCAAATTGTATATAACTCTATAAAATAAATTTAAATGGTGTATATAGAGAGAGAGAAGGGGGTGACAGATAGAGAGTGAGCACACATAGCTTCAAGCATGAAACCATCAAATATGCAAGAAAGCCACCATGTGTGCTCACTCTCTTCTGTCACCATCAATTACTCATCAATCAAACCATCCATATTTATGATTCATATATACCTCTTAATATCACATACATGTATAAACCCTAGCCACTTTGAACGCAATGAATATAATATAATATAGATATACCTATATATATATATATCGATGTTCCATTATGGAGGAACATTGCTCTAAATTCTTATAGGATATATGTGTTTGTTTATCTTTGGCTGTGGGAAGAAATGAAGACCTTGTTGTGGCTTTTTATAGCCAAAAGGGAGAGAGGGGGGATCGAGAGAAATCCTAACAAATCCTATATTTTCTCTCTCTTCTCCAATTATTTGGATACAGATAATCTTGAAGATAATGGAAGCAAAAAAGATAATAAAGTTATTTTTTTACAGAAATATTGATATAT